GTATTGTTTTTAAAACCTGCTATGCACTTTTCTACCCATTATATTTTGTACGACGGACTGAGGCCCTGTACAGCAATGAAATTACATAATACAAAATTGACTATTACTAAAATGATTAATTGTAGACAGATTTCGACATGAAATCGTTTCACTTTTATGTGCGTTAACGTCTGTGAAGTGCGTTAACATCTGTGAAGAGCGAAAAATCTCGTGACTATAGCATTCTACCTTAAAATGCTTAGACATTATTGCTAAGATACGTACAGTCTTGTCTTTTTTGTGTACAACATTTTGCCGTAGTGAATCTAGGATGTGGATGTTTTTGTCTGTGCGTGGAAGATGGCTCAGGACCCCTTCTCTAAAATGATAAAATAGTTCAAAGATGTTATGTGAAATAACTTACCAACGTAACACAAAGTAAACTAATTGAATTTAAAGCCGAGAATATAAAAACGTCTGTAACAGAGCTCAAAAACACTTTTTGCATATTATAAAATTTACACGTTTCACATCAAATATATTATTGTTGTTTTCGAACCCCCTATTCAAAAGTGCTGGCTACGGGCCTGTTATGTGTCCTGTATGCGAATATAGGAAATATCGCCTACTTTTTACTGTAAAATGACTAATTTTCACTGGGTTTAAATTTCACTGATTTACCATTTTAGACATATTCAGTGGGTTTTTAATTCACGGTTTTGTCATTTAGATAATGTGTTCTATGCTAAATTTTACATATTCACTGTGTTTTAATTTAGCGCATTTTTCCAGTCAGCGAAATAAGCTAAATTAAAACCCAGTGAATAATTACCCCCTTTACAGTATTCAAGTAGTTTTTGAACTGGACGTTCATAATATCGAACGGCCAAAATCGATATTGACGACATTGTCAGCGTACGTGCATGTAAAATAAAAATCATTGTTATGCTCATATTACGAGATCTTATCAGTGAGAATCGGGATTCAAAATATGTAAAACCACGGTAATTGTTTCTGCGTTAAACACCGTGGCACACACCGGAAAGTTGTTCAATTGAACGAATTTCCCACTAAACCCATTCGGTTAAAATCAAATATAGGTATAGGCTACATTGTGTTTGTTTTCAATTTTCATGTTTCTTTATTCTTCCGTTTTTTTTTCCAACGGTAAATAAATACACAAAAATAGATGTAATTTTTTTTACATGGGAATATATTCATATACTCTAACGGTACTGAACGATTTCACTTTATTCCTAGCCTGCATCAGAACATGTCGTAGTAGGTCAAATATATATATTTTTTTTAAATTACTTGTTCCGGGCGGTAGTTGCCGTCGTTTTATGTTTCACTCCTGGTCTGACCGAGTTGATGACGCAATTGACGACGCAACAGATGACGCAAGTGATGACACACGTATAGTGCATTTTTGCCACAGAAACCATGTTCCATTGTTGGGACTACGTGACAGATCTGCGTGACCGTTTATCGCGTTTTAGCTATTGCTTCATTTGTGTTAACATTTTTTCCGCGACGCGCGATACGTCAAACCCGCAGTCGACACTGCGTCGAATTTACACAAGCATCATTGAATCACGCTTTTCGCTGGGACTGAGGTGTTTTTAATTACATTGATTATGAAACTTAGATTGTGTTTTCACGATTTGGCACAAAAAGTAGAATTAAACTGAACGTAGCGTTGGTTCCAAGTAGTAGTACTCTGTATAATTTAAAACAAAATCAAAAATGTTATCACGAGTTAATGTCAGTAGGGTACTGAAAACTAATAAAAATAGACGCCCGTAGAAATTTTAGAAAAAAAAGTGTCCGAAATGTCATGGAAAATGACAATTTATGATGAAATAATTCAAGAAAGAGTTATATATTAAAATTATAAACAATGTGCATTTTTCGACAAAAAATAATTTGATGCGATTCTTCTTAAAATGAACTGACTCAAAGTAAATCACTACTCACATTAAAAGTACATTGCTTTTTTTATTAACGCAATTTCCTTCTGCTACACCACTTCATAAACACAATTTACGTAACTGAAGTCCCAAAACCACGTGCGTATGACGTAACATCATATAACAAGACGTGGTCAAATGACGATTATACAGTCACGTGGTATCGGTTTGTTGAAATTTTACGGAGAAAATAACTATAGCTAAACATTTTGGAGTAATTCGACCCTCAAACACCATTTTTTTGAATCATTACCGAGGAGAAGTTCTTACAAGAACGATTTCCCAGATGGTTACGGAACATTAAGCTTTGGTGAGTCAGCGTGAGCTGCTGCGCCCTCTTAGACTGACAATGACGCAAATTGCAGCGGGAACGCAGCAATCCGCGCCAACTACTAATATGTTAGACTAACCAGCATTGTAACGAGTGCTATTTCCATCGTCCCGACTTTCATACCACATTTGAGACGAAAATATATACTGTCTGATGTAAGAGGTGCCAGAGTCGAGCATTTACCGGACAAAAGT